AGCGTAGCCTCACCTTTAAGCGTTGGGCTGAAGGAAGGTGCTTCCATTGCCTCGAGCGTGGCCACCAAGTCAGTGCATGCCGCGAGCCATTCAGATGCATTCGCTGGCGTCGCCCTGATCATCGGGAGATGTTCTGTCGTGCTCGCTCTTCCGTTGCTTTCAATTGCTCTCCGGTCGCTCGCGTGGCTCTCCTTGCGCTCCTTGCCAGCAGAGCCACTCCCCGTCCATTCAGCCTTGTCCTTCGCAGGGCAGGAGTTGGGCTTAGGTTGTGGGCCACTCGTCACTGTGTGTGTCGGTGCCGCCAAGGTCCCAATCTGGGTGTTGCAAGGATTCCAATGTCAGCGCCTCTTTGGTCTCTACTTTGGAGTCACAGCTTGCCCTGCTGCGCATGGAGCTCCTTTAGGAGGTTGAGCTGCTCTGCACTGAGCTTCGCGACGCTATAGCCAAGTTTGAGATTGCATCGGTTGTGCCTTTGCTGCCTGAGCTCCAGGTTGGTTCCATTGATGAGGATGTTGAATGTTGCTTTGGAGATTTTTCTCCTCGTGCTCCGCATATGACGTCGCTTGTTCGTGGAAGCGCGATTATCACCGAGGTCGTAGCTCCAATTCTGCAGATTATGCCTGAGTTGCAGGAGCTTTGTGGGGAATCAACTATGGTGTTGCTGATGAAGCTGAGCGCATTGGAGTCCTTGGCGGTGGCCATGACACCCTCACTACTACCGTCAGAGTCATGTCAGCCGTCCGCCTTTGCGGACTGTCGAGACTTGGTTGGTTCTGTCATTGCCTCATCTATGGCCTTTGGGCATGTGGCGTCTTTGAGTGGCGAGGTTGATGAGATAGGTGTGTTGGCACCTAGCTCTGAGGCTCTATCATGTGAGAAACTAGAGACGCCTAAGTCCATCGTGTCAGTGGTACCTGTGTCTGATGATGTTGAGGCGGTTAGTGCGTTGGCGCCTGATCCTTCGGAGCCCAACCAGCCGCTCGCCTCTGTGGAGCATGGAGGTTCCGATGTTGCTGTCACCCACTCGCACGTGACCGTTGGGCAGGTCTCTGTGCGTGACAAGGTCAATGAGATTC